TTATATATATATATATAATGTGTGTGATTTATATAACAAAGAACGTGCAACAATTAACCACTTCCTATCAGATCTATTTGGTTGATTGTCAAGGAGATGACATGCAGTGGTAATGTCTTTCAGCCTTTATAGTTCTGACATAAATACCAGCAAGATTCTCAATCACCTGAAGGAAAATGGGTGTTATCTAGAAACAACAATCAAGCACTAAGAAAGAAAAATAAAATGGACAAAACAAAAAACAACAACAAATCTTCACTTCACACAGCAACATCTTCCTAGTCCAAAGCTCCCTAGTCCTAGCTATCCAAATTCTTTGGTTCCTAAGGAGCAGTGAAGAATGACATAAATCTCTAGAGTAATTGCACATAATTTTTTTTCAGTGTGCTTTTGAAATGTAGAAATCATTCCATTTCAGCCTCTGCCTTTCTTCTAATCTTCTATCTATGTGAAGTTTCATATTTCGAGTTTTCATGATCATCTAACAAAAGGCAAATTGTCATGCAGTACTGGATGATCTTACAAACATTGGACTTCCTTGAAATATCACTCAATCAGTCCCATTATGCATTTATGGCTTTGCTGTCTCTAATGTCCTCTGTGCTGGTCTTAAAATTTTCTGAAGTCTGTCCAAGTGTAGTTCCTGTGGTTCCTTCCAAGTCCCAGGATCCTGGCAGGTTTTCAAGGCTTAATGAACTAACTCCCTGACTAAAGCTGCCTTCCTCAGATCTGCTGGGCAACACAAGATGTAAGGATGTTTCAGATGAAGAACAGATAGATGATGACAGAGTTGCTGAAATAGACTGGAGAGGAGTCAAAGTAGTGTCTGAATGGGGAGAAGTGCAGCCTACAAACTGCAAATTATCTTTTTGGATAACATGGCAACGGGAAGGGGAATATTCAAAACCTGAAGTACAATAAAATTCACCATCCGTAGAATTTTGAACATGGGATTCAGTTCTTTGTGGGCTGCTACTAACAGAGGTTGAGTCCATGTTCCAAATTCCTACAATGGTGTTGGAATGGCAGAGCTGTGTTTTTGTGCTAGTAACCTTTGGTGCCTGTATATGCATACAGGGTTGGTGTGTAGTCCATGTCATTCTCTTTTGTAAGTTTTCCATGTTGGGACTTATCGCTGGGCCATGAGTTGCACAGAAATCTGGTGATTTGGGGACCATCAATAGATTTTCCAGGAGATGTGTAACATTCTTCATGTCTTTCCTTAATAAAGAAACCTCTTGAGTCAAAGCAGTGACCTAGAATGTCATAAATATATTTATTTAATCATTAATTAATTCATTCATTTTTATATATGCACACACATAGATATCATAAGAAAAGAAGGGAAACTCAATTATAAAGACATCCTAATATCATTTCTCCTCAAATATATAGAATCCAAATGCTATTTCAAGATCAACTACTTCTATGGTGCCAGTCTTCAAGTTAATCTGTTTAGGAACTTGGCAGCTTTAGTATCAAATATATGATAAGATCAAAAAGAATGGTCAAGGCTAATCCTGGTCCCTTGAGTCTCTTGATTATGAAGTCTAGTTTATGTTCCTGCTCTAGAGATCCTTATAAATTAAGCCTCTTTTATGCACATAGCATTTCTCCCATTGGGTTAGTCTTCTGGACTGAGCACAGTTATTATCCTGGTAGATGATGATTATTTTTTTTTACAAATAAGGGAGTTGACTTCTTCAGATTGACAATGATCATATGAGGGCTATCCACAAAATAGATTACGTTTTCGTCTGTAGCAAGAAGGGGTGGAGCTAGCGTGGCCATCTTTGGTCTGTGCGTCTGCCGCTCAGTCTGCATCTAGTCGTGCTAGTGGGAGGTTCGTATCGTTGCCCATTATTTCACAGCAAACGTTTGAAATGTGTGCTGCAATTGAAAATCCCTCGAGATGTGAGGTGCGATCAGTGATAAGGTTTTTGTTTGCAAAAAACCATAAACTGATTGAAATTATTGTGAAATGTTGCAAAAACTAAGAAAAGCAATTCAGAACAAGCGTAGAGGAAAGTTAAGCTCAAAAATTTTGTTTTTGCATGACAATGCCCGACCACACACAGCAAATCGCACTCGAGAAGTCCTGAATGATTTCAAGCGGGAGATTTTTCCTCATCCGCCCTACAGCAAGATCGGGGCTTTTCTAGAGGGATTTTCAATTGCAGCACACATTTCAAACGTTTGCTGTGAAATAACAGGCAACGATACGAACCTCCCACTAGCACGACTAAATGCAGACTAAGCGGCAGACGCACAGACCAAAGATGGCCATACTAGCTCCGCCCCTTCTTGCTACAGACGAAAACGTAATCTATTTTGTGGATAGCCCTCGTATGTTGCCCTTTGTTTATGAGGAGCATAGCTAGAAAGACCCATTTTATTGGTTTGCTCTTGCATTTCCTCATGTCTGAATATGATGTTAGTCAATGTTATATTTGACAAATTAGAAGCAAAACAAGATTTTCTGTTTTTAAAAAAAGTGAATCTGATTGAAAGATTGCTATTGGGATTTGTTTATTTTTTATTATATTGACATCAAAATATATGTTGTGGTGCAAAATATTCCCATGTGTACTTTGAATATTTTTATTTTAATGTATCTGCAAAGGTTTATCGTTATCAGCAGATAGCAGCATCTTACTATCCTTATCTGGATGAAACTAAGTAGGGTTAGCATGGTTAGTATTTTGATAAGAGTTCTCCAAGGAATGTCAGAGGTGTAGACAAGGATCTCTCTCTGAATCTCTATTTTAAATCAAGATAGTGGTTGTAGTTGAATCCCCATCTTTTTTTACATGTGTCAAAACCTGTAAAAGGGGGTAACGCTTCAATTGTGCAATTATAACCATGAGGTTGGCTTTTTCTGGCATTTGCTTCCTCCTATGAATGCCCTGATTGTAAGATACTTTGGAATATATTATATCCTAGAGAAAATATTGGCAAGCCACTTCTGTACTGCTGTCTAGGAAATGATATAAAATATAATTTGTACATAAAAGACTTTTTGTCTATAATGCTATAAAGAATATGATGAACAGGCAAATTTGTCAGACTTTGGTTGAGGAATTATTTTATTATAAAATAATATCAATTATATTTGGTTCAGTAAATTATATTTTATATTATATTTTATTTCACCTTGATCTGACTTACAATTCTCTAATGGGGGGGGGTTGTCTTACTAGTGTGTAAAATATTGTTATATTATATATTCCTTTTTACAGACTGTTAGGTTTCTATTGGGAGATAGAAGACTGAACCAAAGAACCCTTGCTATGAATCTTTGAAGTTGTTGAAAAGGGAGTACAGCCTGATTCAAACCACATACAAGCTTTCAATTGAAAATGGATAATAATATTTCTTAATTTTCTTTTGCAAACAATTTATTATCCGTTCTATTCTATTGAATGAGTTGAGAGGTTTTGTGAGATATTGTATCTTAATATTTTTGTAATTCTGGAACTTTAAATCTATATTTTATATTATAATTTCATTTTTCTGTATTATAACTTCAAAGAATCTGAAGAAATGTCTTTGATTTTGTATATAGACAAGGGATCATGCAATAATAAGCTTTGTGCAGGCTTTAAGATTATTTGGAAAGGTCTAGAACAAGTTGGCTGTGGCCAACTCATCCTGGCCAACTCAGCCCGGCTGATTCACTGCAACCAACTTGCTGTGGGACAATTTACCATAGACAATTCAACACAGGATAGCTCAAAAGAAGGACAAATGAATTACAGCGGGCTTTGTCTTGCTTTAGGTTAAGGCCCACTGCAATTCCCTTGTCCCTCTCTTGAGCTATCCTGTGTTGAATTGTCCTGCAATGAGTAGACATGTTCAGAGAATTGGTTGCAGAAAGTTGCCCCATTCTGGATTTGGAAACAGTGTTCCAGAATAGTAGCAATAATTAATGTTGCCCTTCTTATTTCCAAATTTTCCAAGAAACAGAAAGAAAGATGTGGCTACTTTAACAGTCTATTTAAAGAGGTAACTACATAAAGTAGCAGCCTCATTTTTCAGGAAGCTGAAAGCTTGAGAGGAAGCTTGAAATCATTGCTTCTTTAATCAGCAGCAATGACATGCAGCAATTCTTTTGCAATGCTTATGTATATATGTATGCAGGGGTAGGCTTCTAAAATATTAGGAATTGAAACAGTTTATGTCCAGGATGCGAGGGGTCTGTAAATTATGGGACTAATTAAAAACTAAACATCAAGATATTGGTCACAGCAGATCAATTAACCATAGAAATTAATTAAATAACTGAGCTGGGAAACTGCATCCAGAGCAGGGGTGAGCTTCAAAATTTTTAGCAAAAGGGTTCTCTTTCTGGTTGCTGGGTGGGGTGGCCATGATGGGCATGGCCTAGTCATATTCCTGCACCATGGCAGGGGGAGGGGCATTTTGCCCTTCCTGGGCTCCAGAGGCTTTCTAGAAGCTGGAAATGGGCCCATTTCTGGCCTTCCTGAACTTCCAGGAGGCCCGTTTTGCCTTCCTGGAGACTCCGCATGTGCCCTGCACCTACCTGCATCCAAAATAGGCCACGTGGGGATTTGGGCCACGTGGGGAGCGGAAGGCTGGGCAGGACCACTCAGGAGTGGGATTTGGAGGTTTTCCAAACTGCACAGAATCTTATCTAAGGGGCTCTCCCGAACACCTGCAAAACCCCAGCAGCCCACCCCTGTATATATGTATGTATGTATTAAATGTATTGGTCACCCACCTTGCCACAGGATAACTCTGACCGGTTTATAATAGTAAAAGGATAAAACTATACAAAACCTATGTACAATAAAAATAAAATACTATAAAAATATAAATTTTATATTCATCATCCTACTATTTTACAAATCTTTTAAAAACCTGGCCTTGTGTGGCTGTTGTTGTTCCCTGCCTTTTTCAGTGACTTTGGGTTATTGGTTGTTGACTGCTATTAGCAGCTTTTTTTTTCCTTATCATGTTCATGATGACTAATAATGGGGCATAGGGAAAAAGTGGATGTGATTCCATGAATTTACAGACCAAAGTGAGAAAGCTTCAGTGACCAGTTGTGTAACTCCTAAGTTAAGGAGTTTCAAAAATCTCCAGAATGTTCAACAGTCCCCCAAAAAGATTAATTATAATTCATCTTTTTGAGGTTCGTAACATTATGGGATTTTTCCAGTGAATCATAGAAAATGGTTCCAATTCCAGACTAAGAGAATATACTCTGAAAAAATTTATAATATATCTCAACTGTTTGCTGTAGAGTACTGTAATTTTTTTGACACATCTTTATTGGATTAAGAACTAATATTTTTAAAGAAATATAGATAATTTTAAAATATATATTTTTTTTAAAGAAAAAGGGTATGCTAAGAGAAATTTCCTTGTGTAATAATATTTATTCATAAAATAAATATTTTCATTATAATTGAATCGATTAGCATTTATGTTCCTGGGGTTTTGATACATCTTACTGTATAGATGTATTTGAAAATAAGTCAAAAAGAATTTAATATGATAAACTCCTGGGTACATTATTTTGTAAAAATGCAGCCTTAATTCTATCATATGAAAAAAAAAAAACCCTTTTTGGCTGTTGAATACATGCTCAGTCCTACTAAGGTAAGATACAAATGCAGATATATTTCATTTTTATCTCCAAAGCTGCTATTTATGGAACCTTAGTGTGTAGCTAGTCTTTATAATGCTATCAGAATGTACAGAATAATTTCAATGAAATACAAAAAGGGACCTTACCTCATTATTAAGCTTGTTGATCTGTTGTTTTGTTTCTTCTGCTTTGATAACTAACACAGCAGCACCAACTTCATTCTCTGTAATCACAACAATGCATAGGAAGGAAGGAAGGTCATGTACTAATAATGTATAAGCTCAATATTGTTTCCTGGCTTTCTTGTAATCAGAGAGAGAACTGTGTACCAACTTTATCAAGACTAGCATTTAAAACTAAGTGCATTTCCAACAACTTGGAATTTCATAAAGACAGGAAAAATCATGATGACCACAGATTCAAAAATATAAAATCTTTTTTGAGCTGGGAGCTGAAATTTAATATTTAAATGATGTACTGCAGATGTCATATATTCTGTTGTGTTAGATGTTATGGCATTAGATCAGAAATCTATGTGGCTTCTAATGAAGACTTTGAGTCTTATATTCACATAACATTGTTTGTGTGGTATGTGTTTCATTTGATTAGTTTATAATGCACTATAATTCATCAAGTCAGACAATTAATTTAGCAACCATACTGAGTATGTTGAAACAGTATAAGGCACTTTTATTTTTCTAATTCAAAGGAAGCCCTCATTTGTTTCTTGTATGTTATGTAGCCTGAGAATAATTTACATTGGGATTCTTCCATAGTTCTTGAGGTATTTCATTCATGCCTAAGTTTCCACCTTAGAAAAATTAGAATTAACAAAGCCTCAGAATTGGCAGACCATCTTTTCTATTATTGGTGAAGATAATCTGCTAAGATTTGGACAACACTGTATTTGGCTGGACCCAAAGTTTTTTGGTGCTGTGTATCAAGTTTTAGCTGGGTTCTTTTTTGGTGTGTGTGTGTGTGTGTGTGTGTGCGATTACTTTGGAGTTAATCCAGGAGAGTGAGCTCTGTTTCAAAATAGGGCAGTGGACAGAGGCAGAACAAACCATATTATTAAATGTTAAGAGTCACTCTGAGAGTGAGATGGGCAATATCTAAATTTGATTTATTGATTAATAAATAAATAGTGGTAACCATGCATATTAATCACATTTTTAATATATTTCTTCTATTAGTATTAAATATTACAGCTCTCCCAAAGGGAACATTTCATAAAGTAAAGGTGCCCTGATGATCTAAGACTGCGATTTTAAAGTAACTTCTTCCAGAATGCAAACTGAAAGCAACTTTTAAATAGAAAGTGGTTTCAGAAACATTTTGCTGAGTACCCCCACGTGGCTCACAAAGGTAAGTCCTGAGCTCAGCTGAAGGGTGGGAGATGGCAGGTAGGTGGGGTGATGTGGGTGGGGCAACCTGTGGTCCCTCACAGGCCAGATTAATGGCTTCAGCAGGTTGTATATGGCTTGTGGACCTATTTTGAGGACTCTTGCCTTATAGCATTTCATTCTGGACACTATTAATCAATTATGTCAATTACTCAAAATAGTAAACTATTAGACAAATATTGTTACTGTCCTAATTCACTATTGTTGTATTGGTTTCTACAGTTTCTAAAGTCTTTCAGAAGGTAGCTTTGATTTGGAATGGCAATATTTATAATATCAAAATCTGCTCATTTATTTATTAAGCAACAGGAATGCAGCTTTTCATTCTGGTAGGATTTCATATGCCACTCCACTTACAGGTAAGGATTTTTCTCACAATATGCAATACAAAAAAATGCATTCCTCTCCAAAAAGATTCATTATGAATAATGGGTAAAGTGGTTAACTATAGCACTAACCCCCAATGATGGGAGATGATCTGGATTCTTGCCTCAATTGTTCAGAGTCAAACTCAAATGCCTGGTTTTCCTCATCGTTGCCATCATCCTCTGTTCCATCAACAATCCTATTTTTCCCCCAAAACAAAACGGAACAAAACTTAAGTTTGGACTATTTTCACAAACCTCATTGATCCACTCATGTTAAAATATAATATAAACAATGTATACTTTTTTGGAGCAATGTAATATTTACAATATGAATCTCATTATTTGAACCTAAACTCTTATAAGAACAAAGTAAAGTAAGATTGATGATTAGTGATACTTCAATTTGTATGTTTTTTTAAATAATTCTCATTGGTGGGTTATGATCATCTGACTGCAATGTTGCACGAAATATTATTGGCATCATTTGAGGTTAGAAAGTTTTATCAATATGTTTTTCAATAATGCTAATCTTGAGGCTAATTTTTATTTGTTTTCTCTATTATTGTTGTTATTGTTGTTAAATTATATTTAAAAACATTTAAAAATGCACCCTAGGGATGAAGGAAATATATATTTTGCATTTGAATGTGAACTATAGAATTTGTCATTTTTAAGCAATACATTTAATTAAAATTTGTACTTTATAGAATTCTGAGCCGAAGTATGCCAAAAATAAAAATATGCATCCTAGAAAAGTTTGTGCAAAAATCCATATAATATATAAAGACGTAAGGTAATTATTTTCATATTAACATTAAGAGAAATTAAAAATTTAAATTAGGTGGATTCATGCAAAAAACAAGTACTGTTGAAGAAATAAACTTATAGTGCCACTAAAATCACAGTATCTGAAAAGAGTTCTCAAAGGAAATTATCCAAAAAGACAAGATTCAGAGGATAAGGAGTGTCAAGTATTTTCAGAGGTAGTTAGACAGAAGCTTTTAATGATATATTAGTCTTAGCTAAATCTTGTGTGTGTAGAGATTATAAAATAGATATCAAAACTTGATGCCAAAGATTAGAGAACCATCCTAGCTAACTCTTTCCTGCTACTCATTGATTCATTTTTACCTGAATTTCTATTTCTCCTGAAATTCTAGTTTAATGAAAAGCTATTAGAGATCCCCACCCCATCTCCACCTCAGCATAATTTTCTTAAGAGGTTTCAGAAATATGCGTCCTGAGTTATTTTTCTTATTGATCCTAGAGAAAAACTTGCTTGGATCTTCAAAAGATACATAGGCTTATTCTCTCTCACAAAAAGAATGGCACCTTGGCCCCATAGTACATGCTATGGGTTTTTTTTTTTGCCCTTCTCATGGTTGGTGGGTTTGTTTATTTGTCAGTGAATAGAAGAGCTTGAAGATGGCTCTATGTATGTTACAGTGGCTTCAATATTTGCATTCCTGTCTTACGATTGTTCAGACTTTGGTACATGAACAGTTAAAATGTGGGGCAAAAAGTTTTCTTAGAGGAACTAATTGCCCTAAGCATAGAAGCAGCTGTGTTACTGCTATGAGAACTTCAGCTGGAAAATTGATAGCTGTGCTATGAATGCTACAAAAATGCTGAAGCTGTACCAGTATACTTGCTTTATACAGGAAAACAATAGGTATTTGCCATCTAATATGATAAATGCAAAATAGCAAACAAATGAATATTAAACTGTATGACAGACATTTATTGATTGATACAGTAATTCACTGACATTCTAATTTCTCAAAATATTTAAAGCTACAATGGAAGTTTGCAAATGAATGTTCAACTGAATTTTAGAACCATCTCTACCTTGCAAATATTTAAACTGAATATATTAAACTTGTACAGGTAATCCTAGACTACTGTAATTGAACCTCAAATTACAGCTGTAAGCAGGGGTGGGATTCTACTGGTTCTATCCAGTCCCTTGTAAACTTTCTAAGCAGTTCGGAGAACCAATAGTTAGAAGCAATCTCCTTTTGTTTTTTTCCACCCTTATTACATTCTTGGCAGACAGCCTAGACTTACTGTCTCCAGAGCTTCTTGAGGCTTGCCTTTCTTAAAGGGGAAGGAATTTTAACACTGCGGTTGGGAGGGAATACTTTGGGCAATCAGCACTTTGAAGAAATAATTGAATAATGAAGCAGAGCTTTTAGTGACAGGGAACCAAGATGAGTGACACTCATCAAGGCTTCTTGGCTAGCTAGAAAGATTTACATTTAAATGTGAGTTTACATACCCTTTCTAAGTTTTGGTCTAAAACTGGTTTTTGTGAAGGTTAATTATGTGCTTGGTGATGTTTAATCCTGTGTTTATTGATGGGATAATTTTCCCTATTCATCTTCAACAAGCAACAGCTATTGTTGTGATTTAATTATTTGTATTGTGTTTGAATTTTTTCCTGCCTCATGGTTTCTTTTTCTATTTGGGGAGGGGATCTTCCTCACTGCTTTAGTACTATCTGGCCCTGTCCTTTTGGGTTATATTTCCAAGAGGCAAGATGCAAGCTTGGCACTGAATTTTTTACTGCCTTTCTGGGTGGTATGTGACCTTTCCTTAAATCTGGATGATTTCCTTAGGGTATCTTATGAGGTGAGCGAGACCAACTGATATCTTTAAATGGTGCAAATGGATCTAAGGATTGCTTTTCCTGGATGTGCTTTTTCTGGAGGGCTTAAATGACCTCTCTGCTAAAGGGGTTCACTTTATGAGCAAGAGTTGGCTGCTTGATAGTTATCACTGCATTTTAACTATTTTCATTCCTCAAGATGCTATGGTACCCTGCCTGATTTGTAACTCTGGCTTGCAGGTATTTTTAATCTAATGATTGATATTTAGGGCAGCTTTTTGCAAGCAAATAAGCTTTTTGTATTTTTGTACAGGTGACTTATGACCATTTTTCACACCTATGATTGTTGCAATATCCCCACTATCATGAGAGGCCAGGTGAGGAGAAGCATCCCTTGACATGAATGATGTCAAGTTAGCCATGCCCACCCAGTCACATGACCACCAAGCCACACCCACCAACTAAGCCACACGCACAGAACTGGTTGTTAAAAAAACTGAATCTCACCCCTCTCTGTAAGTTGTAGTGATTGTTAATGGGTGATGTGACTGCCTGATTTTACAAACTTTCTTGTGACAGTTGCAATGAGAAACTGGAATTAAGTACCGGAAACCAGAAAAATGCCAAAAACCACAGTAATGTGATTTACAGTATCTTGTAAATCCTGTAAATGCATGAAGGGCCAAAATTTGATCACATGGCTGTCAATGGGGATGGGCAGCCATTGTAATTTTGGAACTGGGTTCTGGGCAGGACTGGTGTAAGTTCAAACAGTCTTGAAGTTACCAATTGTTAAGTGAAGACTACCTATGTGTGAAAATGAGCAGGGCATAGGCAGATCCATCTCAACACAGCCTATATATGTATTTATGACTATATATCTACTCACAAAAGACCCTTTCACTAATAACTATATGCATACAGCTCTACATGCATAGAGTGAGTATAATAGAACACTGAAATTCATTGCCATTTGAACTTCAGCACTGCTACCTTCCTTCCTTCTTTCCTCCCTCACTCCCAATTTTAAACAAGAACTATGTGGATTGTTAAAAAAATTAATAAATATTTTAACTTTTGTTCAAGGTGTAGTTAATAAGAATAAATAAATAAAGTTAAGAATAGAAGAGAATTTTTATTGGAAACTTACGGTTGTTCTCCCATCTCATTGGGCCAGAATTCGCGATCATGAGCGGTTTCACTCTGTGCTCTCTCATTGGAGGATCCCAATCAGGACCAGAACCACCTTGTAGGGTTGGTGAAGAAATGGGGCCACTTGTTGGGTTGAGGGGAGCTGCATCTCCCCTCCCCAGCAAGGAAAACCCCCTATGAAGACAAGCTGCAGAGGTGGGCTAAAATGGCCACCATGAAGATGGGAGGCAGTCCAGGTAACTAAGACTGTGTTGGTGTGGTGTGTGGGCCAGGTGAAATACTTGGACATTAAAAGAATCCCAGAATTAAAAGAAATAATTTTTATTAAAGATTGTAGAATCAGCAAACAGAGAGAGGAAGAAGGAAATTGGAAATTTATGAAATTGAACTTTGAAAAGAAATAATTTGGAAAATTTAGAGGAAAACATTTGACTATAAAAATTGAGGGGCTTCTGGTGTTGCAAGGCTTTGGCGGCAGCAGGAATCCACGATCGTGCGCAGTTCCTGCTGTGCTTGCCGCCGAAGTTCCTCCAATCCACTTGGTTCTGGAGGATATGGTTGCCCCATAGAGGCAACCAAAGAGAGAGGAGATCCAGACAGAGGCTTGGGGGTATCACAAACCCCCTCCCCAGCCAGCAAAACTCCTTTTTCCCAAGGCGGTGAAGCAGCAGTCAGCAATGGCTGCCACAAAGAAGCCTGCAGCCGGGTAAGGTTTGTGCAGGAAGAAGCTGGAGAAAGTGAAAGGTTTTTTTGGCTGAACCGGGACAACAAGGAACTCTTAAATACCCTGGAAATTAAACCACTTGAAGGATACATTGTTTCCCAAAGAAGGCTGTAAAAGTGGCGGAAGAAAAGTAAAAGGGAAAGTTATTTTCTCTCACTCTCCCTCCCCATGGAAATAGCAGAGGGAATCTGGAAAACCTGCTTGGGCACAACAAACCTGAAACTTAAAGCCAAGGAGGTAAAAGATCTTTGAATATTGGAATTAAAAACTAAAAAATTTCTTAATCTTTTTTTTTTTTGCTATAAGTGGGAGGGAAGAGGTAAAGAACTTACTTTAAGATTGTATTGAAGGAGACTGCTTGGACTTTATAAGACTAGAAATAAATGGTGATAAAACTTCTAGAAAATTATTTTGGATCTGTGTAATTGAATTCTACCCCAGGAAGAGAAAATATAAAAAGAAGAAAGTGCTAAATGAAATTTAGCATAAATAAATTTGTTCTGATTTGGATTTGCTTTGTGACTTTGGGATTCTTGGGAACTATTTCTTGAAAGATCAAAAACATTTGGGTTGTCTTTTTTAAAAAATGGCATTATCAGTTGAAGAACTACAAATGGAATTTCAAAAGCTGAAAGAAGAATAACAAGAAGGCAAGGGTTCTTCTGGATCTATTTTCCACTTTTTAGAAAAGGCGATTTCTACTAATCAAGAAA